GTCCATTTCAGCTCACTAATGCCTAAGATATCGATGTTGATGCGTTCCATTTCATTTTTGACAACTTCTAATTTTCCCAGATTCATACTTCGCACATTCCACGTTCTGATTTTCAATGGGTGTTTACAGCTGTTCAAGTCTTCCTATCTTATTGGCTACGTCATATTATACTGTGTGTACTAATTGTTTATCCTAATGGTGCAGTGGGTTAAGCTTTAGGCTGCAAAGAGAAGGGTCAGCAGTTCAAATGTACTGGCTGCTCCATGGGAGAACATTGAGGCAGTGTGCTTCCGTGAAGATTTACAGCATCAGAACCCCAAAGGAGCTTTTCTACTGTGTCCTACAGAGTCACTATAAGTCAGAATTGACTCAAAACCAGTGGGGCTTACTCATCTGCTCATGGATATTTGGATTGATTTTACCTTTGGGCTATTGTAAATACTGCTGCAATGAACATTGGTGTTCACGTCCCGGTTTGACTCTCTGTTTTCAAGTCTTTTGTGTATGTACCTAGAAGTGTAATAGTTGGGTCATATGGCCCCCCAAGGAGATGGATTGACACAGTGGCATCAAAAATGGGCTCAAACATTACAATTGTGGGGATGGCAAAGGATGGGGCAGTGTTTTGTTCTGTTGTGCGTGGGATTGCTATGAGTTGGAACTGACTCAATGGTCCCTAAATACAACCAAAACACTCAGCTGCTAACAGAAAGGTTGAACCTACCAACTGTTCCTCAAGAGAAATGTGCTTCCATACAGATGTACAGCAGTCGACATCTTCTTCTTCCGTAAATTAATAGTGCCACACCAGGATGCCTTAGCCAACCTGTTAGTTGTTAAGTGCCATTTAATAGCTGCCCTATATAGGGTGTTTCTCTGCTATTCATAAGGTTTTCAGTGACTAAATATTCGGAAGTAGTTCATCAGTCCTTCCTAGTCTGTCTTTGTCTGGAAGCTCATCTGAAACCTGCCCACCATGGGTGACCTTGCTGGTATTTAAAATACTGGTGGCATAGCTTTCAGAATCACAGCAACTCACAAGCCACCACAGCATGACAAACTGACAGACGAGTGGTAGAAGAATTGATTCATTTGAGTTATGGTGTTGGAGGAGAATTTTGAAAGTGCCATGGGCTGCCAAAAGAACTAATGGATCTGTGTTGGAAGAAGTGCGGCTGAGTGCTCCTTGCAGGCCAAGGTGGCCAAGCTTCGTCTCTCATAGTCAGGTATATTGTCAGGAGGGAGCAGTCACTGGAGAAGGATATCATGTTTGGTAAGGTGCAGTGTCAGACAAAAAGAGGAAGACACCCAGCAAGACAGACTGGCCAAGTGGCAGCATCGATGGGCTCAGGCGTGGCAACAATAATGAGGTTGGCCCAGGATCGGGTAGTGTTTATTGATCCGCTGTGCATAAGGTCGCTGTGGGTCGGTACCGACTCGATGGCACCTAATAACAACAGCAACTATATAGGGTTTCCGACGAGTGACTGATGGGTTTGAACCACTGACCTTACAGTTAGTAGTCCAGTGCTTACCATACAGAGCCACACCGGGACTCCTTAGCCTCCCTATTTTTGTTGTTAATAAGTGGTGAGGAGTTGATTCCGACCATAGTGACCCTGTGTAGGGCTTTTGAGGTTTTAAATCTTCACAAAGCAGAATGCCTTATCTTTCTGCTGTGAAATTGTTGGTGGTCTGGAACCAGAAACCATGTGGTTCACAGTCCAGAGCTCACTTATGGAGCCGCTCTGCTCCCTTAATCATTCTTGTTATTGTTATTGTGTGCCTTCCAGTCGTTCTTAATCATAGCAATCCTGTATAGGGTTTGCAAGGAGCAGCTGGTGGGTTTGAACCGCCGACCTTGTTCAAAGCCCAGTTATCCTACAGGGCCACACCAGGACGCCTTAAACACCCTTGTTGTTGTTGTAAAGTGCTGTGGAGTCACTTCTGACTCATAGCGACCCTATATAGGGCTTCTGAGGGCGTGGCTTATGAATTTGAACCCCTAGTTGGAGGTGAACTGTTATGCCTTTGTGGTTTTGATTTGCATTTCTCTGATGGGCAGTGATGTGCAGCATATTTTCATTTGAATGTCCCCTCAGGCAAAATGTCTATTTGAGTCTTGGTGTGGCGCTGGATTGCTAATCGCAAGGTTCATGGTTCAAACTCACCGGCCACTCCTTGGAAACACTACAGGGTCGTTATGAGTCGGAACTGATTCAATGGCACTTAACTCATTCTATGATTGGGCCGCGCTGGTCTATTAAAATGAGTCCAACCCTTCAACATTTAGGAGGGATGGTGGTTATGTACCATGGAGTTGGTTCCAACTCATAGTGACCGTGTACAGGGTTTCCGAGACTGTAAATCTTTACGGGAGCAGAAAGTCTCATCTTTCTCCCGCGGAACAGCTAATAGTTTCAAACTGCTGACCTTAAGGTTCGCAGCCCGATTGGATTCGTAACCACTACGCCACCAGAGCTCCTTTTTAGGAGGGGAGACACCATATAAAGTCCCCACTTCCCAGCCATTCTTGAGGAATCAGGATGCTGCAAGCCGGCCCCACTGCCCAGCTGTGACGGGAGCACTGCAGCGCTTGCCCTGGCTGAGGCTGTCTTTCCTTAGTAGCGAGTGAAACAGCTTTTATATCTGTTTTTGGTCCCTGTTAAGTATGGAGTCCTGGTGCGGCGCTGTAGGATAAGCACTGGCCCACAAAGTCGGTTTGAACCGTAAGATCCGTGGTTCAAACTCACCAGCTGCTTCTCGGAAATCCTACACAGGGTCCCTGTGAGTTGGAACGGACTCGGTGGTACTAACAAGTATAGGGCCCCAAAGTGATCCTAACCAGCAGGGTGCGAAATGACGGGTGCACAGATATCCTGAATTGTGACGTTGGGCTCCAAGTATCCCACCCCAGCTTCTGATCCCGCCCCCTTACCCCTGCCCCAGGCAGGCGGAGCCCAGACACTCTGGAGCCCGCCCGCACCGCTTCCCGCCCTGCTCAGCTCCCTGCTCCGGTTCAGCGCGGCCCTCGAGCGCCGCCTGGTGGAGACGTGAGGACGGCCTCCTGGCCTGCCGCTTCCGGGTCGGCCTGACTGCTGGGTTCAGAAGGCCAGGCTGCAAAGCTGAAATCCTTGCAGGCCCTCATCGCTTTTCTGGATAGTGCTGTTGACAGCGGGCTTCCATGCCATCTGGCCACCTGTGAAGCTGAGCTAATCACACAGTTAAAAAAAAAAGCAGTAGCCGTTCTTTGCAAAGATCTGGCAAAAGTAGAAAGATCCCACCACTGAGGGCTCACCAATACAGGGAAGGGAAAAGCTTCCCGGGGATGCTAGGGGCCTTTTACTGTCCCCAAACCACCAGATCCTTGAAGGATATCCCCTCTCCACAACTTCAGGTCCAAGACTGCACTCCCCCTATCCCACCCCCAGGTCCTGGACACGAGGCCAGCATGACCTGCGGTGGGCCGGGTTATTTGTTCCAGACCAGCTTCATTTTACAAAAACCACACACTATTTTCAGGGCTGATAGCCCGCAGATTCTTGCAACCCCCCAACAACCTCAGTCTCCACTTTTGGCTGTTCCCTCTGGTTTTACCTGCATGGTTTCTGTTGAGAAATCTGAGCTTAATCTGATTTGCTTGCCTTTGTATGTTATA